GTGATAGTAGGCACGTTAGTGAGCACCTTGTTGATGTTATGTACTTAGCTTGTCAGCTCTCCAAATGCTGACAGAGCTGACAGATTTGAGAAAAGTTGCTGTTTCAAATTAAAAAAAAAAAAAAAAAAAAAAAAAAAAAAAAAAAAAAAAAGATGAGAGGCCTGACTACTGTAGCTTTTCTCCTGTCCTGGCTATACTTGAAGTATTTAATAACTAGACTTAAAAGAAAAGCAAAAGATGTGCTCGGTGCTTTTGAGGATAGCAGTTTCCTGAGCTGCTGGCCGTACCTTAGCGCTTCAGTTCATAGCTCTACCCCAGCTGTTTCAGACTGCCTGGGTGTACTGGGCAGCAGCAGCGGGCGAGACTGCCAGCTGAAATGCTCTCCAGTTTTTAATGCCCATTCAGCAACATGACTTCCCTGCTAACTGTAGCTCTTCTTGCAGAAAATTTCATGTTTAAAATTCATAATCTGACAGTCTAGGTCACCCAGGTTCCTGCTTAGTTCCTAGCTGTATCTGTGGGCTAGATTTGTCTTTTGGGGAAACTGTCCCCTCCAGCTCCGTTTGCCTTCTAATCTGTTTGCAGTAGTGGTGAAAAAGGCCATGAAAAGCTGGGCTGGGGGGAGGGTGGTTGGAAGAGGGACATTTTTCCATTTCTAAGAGGAGGGATCACCTCAGCCATCAGCCAGTGCTTCCTTGTGTAGGCAGGTCTAGGGATACCAGTGCAGCTGCACTTGGCGGGATTTATCCGAGAGAATTGCTGACATATATATGCTGATTATATCTATGTCTATATCTGTATCTGGGAACAACCCAAAGAACAAATAAATGAGAGGAAAGAATTTGTCAGGCAAGGGTGGACATAGTGTTGCAAATTCTTGCTTGCAAGTTTTTTACCTGTACAAATCAGAGGTGTGTATCTCATGTACCTTGGGAGGAAGGTAAGAGAGAGTATCCTTCGCACGTCCTTAGGAGTAAGACTGTTTTGTACTTAAACACTGCATTATAATTTCTTAATGTTACTGCAGATCTTCATTTTATCTAATTTATTCTCAGTTTCCACTGCATGTAATCCTCCTCTTCTGTCACCTTTGTCTCTTTCCCTCAGCCATGAAGTGATAAGAGCAAGAGCAGACTAGTTCTTGGAAAAGTCATGGCTTCTATTCTTTCTATTTATTTAAGTCCAGAGGGCTCCTCAGCTTCTGTTAGACAAAAAAATAATAAATTACATTATTTTCCTAATTGGTCAGGAAGGATTCTTTTAACTTGGAAGGAGCTTTGTAAGGTTGGCCTCAGTATCCAGCCACTCAAATGCAGTTTATTTTAGACAGACATCGCTTCAGTCCATTCTGTCCCCATTAAAAAAAACCCAAACCAACAAAATCCTGTTATTTCCTGTGTTGCTTTTATTATGAGGACTGTATACTGAAACAAAGCTCTGTGGCAGCATTGAGAATGAAGTGGCTGTTGAATTATCATCAAGCACAGATGGGTGATGCTAGGGAAATCTGTTGTAAGCCTGAGGTGAGGTGTCTGGTAGAAGGTATGATGTCTCATCATAGAAGAATGGTAATAAAAGATGAAGATGCAGTAATGAAAAACAAGTGATGAACCATAAACAAAAGCCTAATTCTTACTGGAGCCCCTTGAGATTTCTGATCTCTATTTCATGCAGGCTTCAAAGATCTGGAAGTCCATGTGAGACCTGTTGAGTAATTCCCATAATTACTTCCATATTTTATTTCCAACATATGTCCAAGGTCAGGTCCTCTTCTCCCACGATTAGTGATGCAGAAAAGCTATTTTTAAAATAGTTTTTCTGTTCAGCTCAGGAAGTGGCTAAGAGCGGTCATGGATCCTATCAGTTAAAATCCAGTTACTTGTGGAGGGAGGTCTATGCACTGCTTCTTCACTCCATCACAGAGTAGTTCAAGGAGATTCTGGCAAGGATGAAAGAGGGAACCTTTGCCAGAGGGTAATTTTCCTATCCCATATGAGGAAGATCCTTTGTTCAGCAAAGAGTTGATGACCACTATGATTTGTTTGAGTTTTTTGAGTTGTGGACATTTTATTCTCAGAAATATTATTTGTAACTCACTATAGTTGACTGGTAACCCCTCCCTTTGCATTTAAAAGTAGTAGAAGAAAGTAGGTTCTAGCCCCTGTCTCAGCCAGGGCCCTGGTGACTAATCATAGAATCATTTGGGTTGGAAGGGACCTGTAAAGGCCATCTAGTCCAACCCCCCTGCAGTGAGCAGGGACATCTTCAACTAGATCAGGTTGCTCAGAGCCCCGTCCAGCCTGACCTGGAAGGTTTCCAGGGATGGGGCATCTACCACCTCTCTGGGCAACCTGTTTCAACCTGTTCCAACCTCATCTTTTGCAAAGCTGGGAAAGGTCCAGCTAGTAGAACTTAAAGCTTACTCTGTTAACGGCAAAGTCACAACAAGGTGTAGGAATAAGAAAGAGGCAGTGACTTTGACTTGTTGCCAGAAGAGATTTAGACCTCTCAGACATAATTAATCTAGCCTTGCATCTCTTAGTGCCTCTGCATCACAGAATGGCTCTGCTATGCATAGCCACCCCACTCCCCCCAACCACAGCACAGAGCAGAATCACTGTGAATGCTTGAATTCCCCGGTTATTGCTTTCAGGAGGTCTGGAAGAGAAGGAGCGCACAGAAATTGCTTTACTGACGGCAGGAATACTACTGTTCTAACTACCATAATAAACCGGTGAGACCAGATTTGAAGTTTTCCTCCAGGCCCTTCTTGGGAAAATAAAAAGTCCAAATAAAGAGAAAAAGACCTCAGCATATTGAAGAAGAGAATTGTGTATTATTATTTAGAATTCTTTAAAATTCCAGTCCTGCACAGTTTATGGAAAAAAATAGCTCATTCAATGCTATCTCAATTGAATGCTCAAAGAAACAGAAATGTTACTTCTATTCAACAGAGAGGTGTGGCAGCCACTCCGGAGGCCAGAGGGCTTCAGCATTTTGCTTAGTCTTTAGTCTTTTTGTTTGTTTCAACTGGGAACTTTCTCTTTTTCTGCATTCATACTCCTTTCAAGTTTCAGGTACAGAAAATCTCAGAGCAGCATATGATGGTTTTTCTGCTTAACAGATTTGCTTAAAATCCTGGCCTGACACACAATTCTTGATTTCTTTTCCTAGCAGCACCCTGGTGTGGAAATCTCTTTAACAGATAGTCCCTTGCATCCTGGATCGTGAAGTTGTGCCTGTAGTCCTCAGGACGTGCAGTGGTTTCTGTGGTTCACTGGAGAAGCTTAAAGTAGCCCTTGAAGACGATGCTGTGTTTTACTGGGTAGTCGTGTTCCTAAACAGTGAATTGCCAGGAAGACAGGAAGTCTTCCCCAAAACAGGAACTGCTCACCAGCATGGCAGAAAGTTGTTGGATGGAGACTGTCTGTCTGTTAAAACCAAAGCCATCACTTGAGCTGGGGAGACAAAAGCAAAGGGTTCAATTGCTAATATTAAAAATTTTATTCATAAAGATTTTCATTGACTTCATAAAATATTTTTTCTTTAGGTAATTCCTCTAATTGGTTTTGAAGGGTTGTTCTATTGTAGGCTGGAAATGATACTCAGATGCTTTCAGCGCAGGAACACTGCTTTATTCTGTTTCTGTTGCTTACACACAGCAGAGAATTGTAGAAATTGAGGCATTACAAAGATTTCATGAATCTTTGCGCATAGTCCACAACTTGCAGCCCATTTATAGGGATCAGGTAGACTTGCCTGATCTTAATGCTATTTCTTTCCTTTTGGCAGAAATACAGGTCATTTTTGGGTAACATTACTTGCTTGCCAAAGGGAAGAGGGAAAGCGGTTTGTATATAATCTCTATTTGATTTTAGGTGTCTAGGTTTCAAAGAAGAATCTTTCTTCTGTACTGGCAGCCTCTTATGATGAAAATCCATTGTAATCACTTTGTGGACCTTGATATCAAAATAATTAAGAAGAGAAGCTTCTGAGATCCACATCTGTGGCACCACAAATGCTTGTGAGGGGAATGTGAGGATTTGAGTTTGTTATTGCTAGGTAGAATTAGTGCTGTAGTAGCAGCAATTGCTGTGGTTTTCCTGGAAGCATGGTTAAGTCAATCTGTAATGTAGGAAGGAGGATTTAAACGATTTGGGGGACTGTTTCAATTGGAGGAAACTTCAGTGGGTCACTCCTGCTGCCAGTGACTGGGCTGATTCTGCACCGTTTTGCAAAGTGGCTGAAGCATCACCGTATTGCATCTGTGGCCTCTGCTATTCAAACAACAGATATTTTCAGATAAGCACAGATAAATTTTCCTATTCACTGAGAGAAGTAATGCAAATCAGAATGTCAGTTTTGATTTATTACATTCCTGGAGGATAGTGTGCATGGGTGCTTTTCTTATGAGGCTGTCTATGCTGCAGAGAGATTTAATTTTCAGCAAGGAACGTATTATGCAGCTTATTTGATTGCAAATTTGTTTAAACAGCTTTCAGCTTTATATTTTCCAGTTAGGTATTGTATCTTTAGATACTAATTGCATAATTGGCTTTATATGAGTCACACAGATTTAAGGTACAGCGTGCCTGGTCTGACTGCTTGTTAGCTTTAAATGGCTTTATACAATAGCTGTCCTAGAATGGAATTTAACTCTTTCATTTATTGAGTTGTCTTCCAAATAATTTTTGTCTGAGGAAGAAAGATTTTCTTGGTACTCAAGGAATTGCCATCTTCATTCGTGAAGTTTTGATGCTGGAGTATGCATGTTTTGTGGATTGGTGTAAGTTCTGACTGGTACACCAATGTGATGAAATAAAGTGGGTTTTAAAACTCAAAAATGAGCGCATGGCACAGAGAGCAACTTCTCTCCCTGTTTCTTGTGATTTCATTTTCCTTTAGAGGATGGTGGGAGGGATCATTTTCCAGTCACAATTTCTTTTGAAAACAGTGAGCTTTACAACTAAGATTCTATCTTTCATCCCTCCATTTCACAGGCCTAAAAGATGCTACAGGCTCTGAGAGTGATGGTGGTGACTCTTGCAGCACAAAGTCAGAAGGAGCCAATGGAGGCACTACAATCCAACCCAAAAAGGTCAAGGGTGTTGGCTTTGGAGATATCTTCAAAGACAAACCCATAAAGCTACGACCAAGGTCAATAGAAGTTGAAAATGACTTTCTCCCAGTAGATAAGGTATGTGTCATTCCTTAATTCTCTCTTGGTGTTGGTTTAAAAAAGTTTTCACCCCAAAGTTCTGAATTTTGTCACTGGCCCAAACTTGAAGTTTATGGTCATTATTTCCTAATCTTTCTGTGGACAACGTTCTCCTTTTTTTTGTTTTGCTGCACACCAGGAAGTGAATTACAGTGAGGTTGGTTGTCTGCAAGAACCGTTACTGTGCTTAAAAACTTACTTCTCTGTGCGTACCTATATTGGCCTTTTTTCTAAGAAAATATTAGTTTAGAGAGCAAGACTAGAGAGGCTTTTCAGGTTTGCAGTTACATTACGGTTAAGAAAAAAAAAGCAGCTAATCTTTATATAAACTAAGAGGGAGATACTGTCACTGTGCCATCAGTGACAAAAGGAAGCTTTGGCAAATACCTAAATACATCAAATTAGTCCTGGGTTTGTTGATTTTAAAATGCTTTCAAAAATTGCCTAGCTTTGTTTAAAGGTATTAGTAAAAATTAAAGCTTTTTTTTTTGTGGGTTTGTTCTATATGACATAAAAAGAAAGTCCTGAGATTAACACTTGGGGAAAAAATTTACTTTCTGACAAACTGAAACAGACCACCTTTTTGCAGAGCACTCTTTGTTCCAAAGCCTCCAAAACCATCACTAAGTACATTAGAAATAGAGAGAGAATAGAAAGCAAAATGAGATGTTTCTAATAAACTGGAGGAGGCAAACTTTTAAAAAAAAAGGGCTGGTCACTCTTAAGGTATGTTTTTTAGGAAACAAAGAAAGAAATGCATTGCTTCCTAATGAAGTAGCAACCGAAGAAAAAGCTGTGAAATCCTTCCTTTAAGTGAACAGTTAGATTTGCACAGCGTTACTGATATGCTGAGAAGTGTTAGGAGGCTTCCAGAGCCTGGAGTTCTGCTATGGGCATAGTTAACGTTCAGCATTTTCTTTGGCTCCGTGGTGATTTTAAGAAGCTCCCGGGAGCTGCTCTCGTTCCCTGGTGCGGCAGCTTCTCACCTTTTGAGTTGTGCTTGTCCAGTTGTCTGTAGAACCAGGTGCTTCATGAATTACATCTTTTTGGCCCACAAAGCTTTTGGGTTTTAACCTAGATCATTTCAGTGACCTGATTTATAGCACAGCACCTACCCCCACATCTGCCCTGAGTTACAGCGGTACAGCAGAAGGGGAGATCCTGCAACGCATAGTGGAAACTTCTTAAGTTAGTTATGCTGAGGGAGAACTGGTTAATATTTTACAGCAGACTGCAATTTGGCTTCTGTATGAGGAGGGTGGTGAAGAGCTGGGGTGATCTAAGTAAAAGAAAAACCATTTGATGGCTGGCTGCAATCTTGTTCATACAAGTCCCATGTAAGGAAAATCGCTTTGTGTATAGGAAGCACCTGATACGTGACTTAAACTCATGCATGTCTATACCTAACGCTTTTTTTTTTGACTTGGGACATAGAAAGTCCTGTAGCATCAGGAAATGTGTATTTTAATAATGCAATTCTACAAGAGGTGGGTTTTAAATTATTAATTTCCTGCATCTAGGTGTGTAAAGGAAATACGCAGTGCGGGAAGAAAATCACCTAAGATAAACACACTATTATAATTTCCATTACAATAGTATTTGTAATTGGTGCGTAACATAAGCATTCACTTGTGAGGGTGATGCATATGTAGTCACTGACCAGAATTCATGTGTTGCACAAAATTCAGTTCTCCCAAGACTGATATAGGCAGATTACAATTTACAAATGATAAGGCCCTGTTAATGCCACATGAGGATTTCTTGTGTCTGCAGTTTACTGTAAGTGTAGCTATCTGTACAGTAGTGATTGTAAATGGGAACTGATTAAAATAAATTACATATCCCTTGAACTCTGAAGAACCTTCTTTTAATGTGAAGTGTTCGCAAAGTGCTTATGGAGTGGCCTTCATTCCCTGAAGGGAAGTCTTATTCCACTTTACAATAATGAGAATTCTTACCTTTGTTTTTCACAAAGAACAAATATTTGTGCAGCATAAGTCAATATGTTTGTTACCCAGCCAAAAATTAAACATAAATTTTCAGAAAATTTCTAAAATTTTCCATCATAATCACAGACCTTCCTTCCTATGTCTTCAAAATTCTCCTAAAGTTGGTGTGGTTAGTGGAAAATAATGGCTTCATTTTTGTAAACACAATCCATTATTTGTGTTTCAAGTGTGTAGATAACTAAAAGCAGTGCTACTTTGCTGTCCTTGCTGTTTTTCTGTCTAGGGTCAGGATGGTTAACCTTTGAGCAGTGCCATTCAGAGGCTTCAGCACTGCGGTCTTTGCCTTCTCATAGCAAGAAAATGTGATTCACTGACACAACATTTGGTTACAATTGCAAAACATTAACCTCCCAAGTACTTCTCCCCTGGCTGCAGGAAATTCTTCCCTCGTCATTGTCATGTTCTTTGCCATTTAGCGCAGGCTGAGAGAGGGAGAATCCTCTGTTAAGTTTGTCATTCCAAGCAAGGTTGTATTTAGCTTCCAAGCTCTGCGTGCTGGATCAAAAGTGTCACAATGTCTGACGCACAGTGCCAAATCGGTACAAGTTTTTCTCTAGCAATGTGTCCAGCTCTGGAGCCCTCAGCAGAGGAAAGACATGGACCTGTTGGAGCGGGTCCAGAGGAGGGACACCAAAATGATCAGAGGGATGGAACACCTCTCCTGTGAGGACAGGCTGAGAGAGTTGGGGTTGTTCAGCCTGGAGAAGAGAAGGCTCCAGGGAGACCTTGTTGCACTTTCCCGTACTTAAAGGGGGCTTATAAGAAAGATGGGGACAGACTTTTTAGCAGGGCCTGTTGTGATAGGAGAAGGGGTAACGGTTGTAAACTAAAAGAGGGCAGATTTAGACTAGATCTAAGGAATAAATGTTTCACAATGAGCGAGGGGAAACCCTGGCCCAGGACGCCCAGAGAGGTGGTAGATGCCCCATCCCTGGCAACATTCAAGGTCAGGTTGGACGGGGCTCTGAGCAACCCGATCTAGTTGAAGATGTCCCTGCTCACTGCAGGGGGGTTGGACTGGATGGCCTTTGCAGGTGCCTTCCAACCCAAACTATTCTATGATTCTGTGAATGTAGTCTTTAAAGGGATCTTAGCCCTGTTATGTGCCTTGCTCATTTACATGTAGCCTCAGTTTTTCAGTAACTTGTAATCTTTTGAAGAGGCAGAAACAATGCTCTCCTCAATTCCTTCTTTTTTTTTTCAATTCTTTCAGAAGTTAGGAGACCCTCGAACTCCTTCTGTTGCTTCTTCTTGATACAGTTATTGATGAAACTTTTTATATATTACTGTAATGATACTGTTACCTTTTTGATTTAAAATATTTCCTAACAACTACTGATTTTTTTTAAAGCATCAATAAATTACTGTGAGGATTTTATAACGTGGGATTAGATAGACCAAGATAGTTCCCACAGAAAATGGCAGTTCCATTTACAGAAGAATCAACAGGGTCTCATTTTGTTGGTGTTATCACTTTGTGTTCCAATGTGTTTTCAATTGTATGAATCATAAGTTTAGATCATGTTTCACGCAGAGGTGACATGAATTACTGGGGCGTTAAGTTAAGGAGGCTTTTACAGAAATGTTGGCAGAAGTGTGAGGGCAGAAAGGATTGCGGCCAGATGAGCAGAAGCAGATGCCATTAGGCTCTCCGGTAAATCACCAGGCAATTTGATGTGCTCCAAGTGTTAGCCCAGTGGTAAAAATGTAGGATATAGTGGCCTTGGCTTTTAAGGTGATCAATAAACTCTTTAACTAAAGGCAAAACTGTGGAATTGCGTGAAACCTCATTGGTTTTATTGGTGTGCAGAATTCATTGCTTTTTTTTGTGTTTTAAAAATCACAGAAGCAGATTATCCTAGGGAAGTTAATGGTGCGGTTGTGGGAGTTTAATTTGAGCAGTGCCGTCAGAGCTGTGTTTTTTTTTTTTTTTAAAGAATCAAATATATATATGCTTTGTAGTCCTTTTCTTTGCCTGTTTATGTTGATGAATTGACCATTGGCCATATATAAGTAGAATCAGATTCCTGAGGCTTGGCTCTGTCAAATTCCCATTAGTAATAGGTGTAAGTAAGTGAACTAATTTACAAAGGTACATGTGACTGAAGACATAGCTTGCTGACAGATGAATTTTTAGAAGAAACACAGTACACGTATAGGCATGTTGTATCTCCTGAGAAAATTCAGTGTAACACTGTTAAAGTAGTACAAGTTTTATGGTCAAATAGAAATGCCCGTTTCACACGTCCTCCTCCTGCTCATGCAGCTTCAAGATATTTAAACAGGAGTTTATGCTTATTTATTTTTTCCTTTTTTTTATTTTGTAGTAGCTTATGTAAAACTTCTGTTTGTAGGTTGGACTTCCCTCCACTATGATCTATATGTGCTTCCATTTTTCTAACAAGCTGTCACTTTTTCCTCTCCTGTCTAAAAATAAACCTCTGAAAGTAAAGGAAAATTAGTTCAACCGATACATTTCCTTAGTCTGAGTTAACTGTATGGGGTTGGTCAGTGAGTTGAGGCTTCAGCTGGAAATGCTAAAGGCCACTATAGGTGAATATAAAATAAAAAGTCTTAAAAAGCCGTTTTTACCTCTCTGAAAACTGCCCTTACTTCAGAAGAGACTACTGAGAGTATTTTTCACATTTTCCATTTGAAATGTATTAGTAGTTTTCTTCAGGCAAGACTTTCATAGTTGGCTAGCAGCGGTGAATTTGAGCAGAGCTAGATTTCATTAACAGCCTTTGATGAGGTCACATTAGCATTTGCCAGAAATTAATGTAAATTATACACTCAACCATCAAACTGGGGAATATTGCAGCCACTGTAATGATTTAGTATAAAAGGAGAGGCTGTCATGGCTCTAGATCCAGCAACTTGTAAGGTCTAGTTAACTGGTGTTTAGGGATCCTTCTCACTCCAAAACACTGAATTTACACGGAAAATTTTATTTCTGTATATATTTAGTAT